GGGAACATTCACCAACTTAAACAAGGAGACTGTCCAGAAGAGCCGCAGGAGATTCCGAAATTGTCTGAAGTCAATGGCTGAAGCAAATTATAATTTTATAGAATAAATTTACTCTGTCGAATTTCAAGATATTTTATTCAGTTTTGGTAAATATATCTATTAAAAAAAAGATGTCAGTATTATTTTCTTTTTTGCGTAATTTAAACAACAATTTATTTGTTTGCGTAAACAAAAGGATGAAAAACTTTTTCCACTTTGTAATACATCTTTCCCATAAAATTGTTTCCAAAATATAAAGACTTATATATTGTTATTCCATATGTATATACACATATATATATATATATATATATATATATATTGCATCTAGCATGAAACAGATTGTCGCCTCTTGTGTTGACTTCTATGTTCACTTTTATATTTTCACACGTTCTATCTCTGATATTGAGCACTTTTATCCCATAAATATAGCACATCTTAAGACTATATTTCTTCATATATATATATATATATATATATATATATATATTTTTTGTGTGTATGTATATATATGTCTGTATATATATATATATATATATATATATATATATATATATATATATATATATATATATATATATATATATATATATATATATATATATATATATATATATATATATATAAAAGTGAAAATAGAAGTCAACACTTAGAGGTGACGGATTTTTTATATCATAGTTTATTTTATCTATTTTTTGCAAAAAGTATAGAAAATAAAGTATAATATAAAAAATCCACATAACTAATAATGTTTGCGGCTTCTCTCTTTAAAATATACACTTTTACCTCATTGGAACACCTATAATCTCTCCCTCATATATATATATATATGTGTGTGTGTGTGTGTGTGTGTGTGTGTGTGTGTGTGTTTGTGTGTGTGTGTATTTATATCCGAAGTGCTACCTATAATTTACAGTAATTTGATCAATTTTATTAATCTGTAAAGCTACCCATCGTTTTCCAAGCATTGTCAGATATTTCACACAAACGTCACTCCAACACATTAATTTTTTTTTCTTTTTTATGAAGAAACATTTTCGCATCTAAAGTTTTCTTGTATCGTATGCTTAAAAATGTTGACCTAACGAATTGTGAATCAAATGCTGTGCAGTCATAATCTTCCTTAACGATGACAGTTGTCGAAGTGTGAAATCATCGAACAGAAGCAGACAAACCTCTTTCAGATTCTGTCTGTTAATCGTTCATATCATAACGTAACGCTTCCGCTGCGTAAACACGTCTCAAGTCCTACATTATCTACATTATTCGTACTATTGTCCTCATCTTTGTCGCCATATTCATTACCACGTTTTCGGCTTCAGGTGGTTGCAATGTCGAACTGAACCCTTTATTTCGCTCACTGAGGTAGACTGTTCTAGTTCCACGTGCCATGTCTTTGATGGATGTCAGTTATCAGTTATCTCATGTTAATTTCCCTCTGAAAGTTCTCCACTGCCTTAACCGGGTATTGAGGACACATGGCACAGTGGGTATGAATTTCTGGGTATTATAAACCTAATGTCTTCTGCAACCATTTTTACCACTGCTTATATTGCTATTTTGCTGTTATCATTGCATGTTTTTACCAGAGCTCATATTGCAACTTTGTTGTTATCATTGCTTTTCTCGGACACTCCTTATTAGTGGTTACCATATTGTATTTATTTCTATGCTTGGTCAGCTCAGGAGATTTTTGTGGCCTAGCATATATGCTGATTCCTTAAGTTTACGAATTTTCCAATTGTGTTCCTTGTCTATGATCTCAACATGATACCACAGAGGGCGGTGATCTCCCTTCTCTCTCCATATGTGATCAGCCATGCCTGATTTTTCAACTTCTCCTCGTGTTACAGCTTTCTGGTGTTCCTGAAGCCTTACCTTGAGGGGGCAGCCTGTCTCTTCTTTATATTCCTTTCCGCAGCTGCACGGGATAGCGTACAAACAGTCCTTAATCATGTTCTCCTCTATGGGGGGGTCTTACTCGAGAGAGATATCTGCGAAGTGTCGTCAAGCTTTTGAAGGTTGTCCTGATGTTATATGGACCGCAGATCCTTTGTATTTTCTCTGATAACCCCTTCACATAAGGCAGACAGACTGTTTTCTGAGTGTTGTTGTCCTCCTCATCTTGTAATGAATATGGCGACAAAGATGAGGACAATAGTCCGAATAATATAAATAATGTACAAAATACCTCATCTCAGAAATATAGACGGTCTCAAGACCTGTTTACGAAACCTGCATTGGAGACGAAACTTGGTCTCACAGTAAAATGTTATTTGAACTGTTCATATATCATAGAAAAAAGGCACTGAAGTTATGATTTATTTAATTATTCGTCTTTCGTCCGAAACATTTTATAGTTGTACTTTTAATGTCATCCATTTTGTGATAAGCGATTTTAGATATTGCGTGATAAACGAAGGAAGATATATATCTATTTCTAACACCGTCACAAGATGATTATTCAGTTGAGACGGTATCAGGACGAAATACATTCAGTGAAAAATGTAGCTAATACTTGTATCTGTAAAATACATAATATTAAAATAATTAATTGAGAAAGGCATGTTCATGGTTGTTGTTCGGGTCCGAACAAGATCTTGCATTACAATGCATCGGTAGATCTGATGTGTTTCCGTAACACAAGTCTAGACGCGCGGAGTGAGGCCGCTGAAAGTGACTGTGATTACTATCTAAACTACTAGATGGCGCTGTTCTTTTTGAGTAGTGCATTTTGGAAGCCGGGCTTCTACAAAGTTTACAGAAGATTGCTGGACCATAGCGCGCCAATACGATTGGTCGGCAGCACACTCCTGTAATTCCTTTGGTCTGATCTTGCACCAGTGGAGGTTAGCTTTGATTGAATCTTTGTACCGTTTCTTTGGTCGGCCTTGACGCCGCCTGCCACACAGACGTTCTCCATGCAACAGTTGTTCAGCAATGCGATGTCCCTCCCTGTTGATGGCATGGCCAGTCCATCGGATTGACATTATACATACTCAATTCATAAATTTTTTATATATGTTTGTAGGAAAAAAGAAAAGAATGGACGAGACATTGAAGATTTGTACGTAGAGAAATTTTTACATGGGGTTGTTTTTTAGGTTCCCTGAGAATATGTTGTATCGTGATCCTTTTTTTTTTTAAGCGTTTCACCCCAAGCAAGGCGAGAAGCCACTAGGACGTTACAGAAAATTTGGAGCAAGATCAGATAGGAGTGATAGAGGAAAAGATGAGGAGAAGAATAGTGGATAGATCAAGGCAACTGGAGATGTCGACTGACATTACATTTGAATAGCTGGAGATTATAGCTATCAGGGAAATTGGAATAGGGAAGGGAGTTCCACAGGCGATAGGTGCGAGACATGAAGCTATTGGAGTAGAAGAGACAGCTACATTTAGGAGTTTTGACAGTGAAAGGGTGAGAGCTGGATGCCAGCCTTGTAGGGTGCTTTAACTCATGAAGTCTGGGAACCAGCGAATGCAGCTCATCGAAGAAATTGCCATGAAAGTATTTGTAAAAAAGACAGAGAGAGGCGACGGCGTGTCTGTGAGAAAATGACTGTAGACGAGATGCCAGATCAGGGCCAATTATATTGCATATCCGCCTCTGGAGCCTATAAAAACCCCGAGGCAAACAGAGGGGGATCTAGACCACATATGGCAGCAATACTCCATGCAAGGGCGAATTGTTGATTTGTAGATCTGGAGGATCGATTCCGGGGAGAAAATTTTCCTGGAGCGGCACAGGGAGCCAACTTTCGTCGCCGTGGACGAAGCAATTGACTCAATGTATTTGTTCCATCTCAGGTCAGCAGTCAACGTGAGACCGAGCAGCCGCAGAGAGATGCTCTCGAGAAGTTGAGCGTCAGACATTCTAATGGAGGGCAGGGAAGGATCTCTGTGGTGATTAATAGAGAGCAGTTTTGTTTTTGAGGCGTTAAAGTTGACCAGCCAATTCCCGCCCCTGTTCACAACCGATTGGAGGTCCTTTTCGAGACGCACGGCCAGGTTAGTTTTGTCAGTGACACTAGATTTGTTTTTGAGGCAGGAGTAAAGTAGGATTGAACGTTGATAGATGAGTTTTTGTGGTGAATGGGTAAATTGTAATGAATGAATGAGTCTGATAAACTAGGTCTAGGATAGTTTATGATGACCAGTCTTACCCTTCTTTCTCCTTCAGCTTTGTGCTACAATTTCTGTGAAAACAAATAAATAATCGTCAGTATTGTAACGTTCTACATGCATTTAGGCGTTTGCGCATTTGGTGTGCTTCAGTTGCCAAATAGATTCTTTGAATTCCATACAACCAACATTTAAATGCCTATGTTGCGGAAAAATGTTTTAAAGAGTTTTTTTTCTTGTTCTCGATAGATTGGCGCAGCACAGTCTTTTGAAACGAAATGTCAGATGAGCAGAGTAATATGTAAGTGTTGTATTAATTATATATTCAAGGTTAATCTTCGATTACAAAAATATTTTTAAGAAATTTTAGCGAAAATATTTTTAATTCCTTGTTAATTCTTAACTTAAATCCATGTTCATAGCTCTCTACAGCTTCCTGTCATTTGTTTCTCGAAGTAATTCTTGTCAATTTACTAATCATTTTTTGTCTTTGTGATCCTTTTATTTCTATTTGGTATTCAAAGTAATATACTTGCCGGTCTAGGAGAGATATATATCACGATTGACTGATTATCTTGTTTTGACGGTTTATCAACCTGTAGAAATTATTTAAAGCCGAAACATATTTTTGGATTGTAAGAATATTTTGGAGATAATGATTTTCTGATACAATTTTTACTATTTAACTCATAGCTGGGGGGGACAATGTGTGGATTGATACCTTCCCCAAGGATATTTGCGCGTAAGTAAATATAACGAACCCGACCGGAATTCGAACTCAGCTCTCCGATTTCTCATTCCGAGCCTTTATTCATTACACCACCCACACATCCAAGCTTACAACACCTGGTATTCTCCTGCGGTCACCTAGGTAATGACCAGGTACAACGTTGCTTAACTTCGGTGATCAGACGAGAACCGGTATTTCAACGTTATATGGCCATAAGCCTGTACGTCACGAGAATATTCTGAACACGAACACATAACGGCTGTTCTTCCAAGCTTCCCCAGCTGTCCATTTTTAAGTTCTAGTGGACGGTATTTAATTATAATAAGATCACATTGGATGTAGTGATATATTTGCATACTTTAAAAAAGAAATGTTTCCTATATCTTAGCAAATGTAATAGTTAATAAAGGAAACTGAAATTGTTGGGTTTTTTTTAGTCTTAAATCTTATTCACATCTGAAAAATGTGTAAATGACTCTTTATCTGGTCATTTCAGTCTACGTAAAAACTAATTTTTCCCTGAAAATGAAGGAGTTAAAAGGAACAGTTGTGGGGTAAATTTAAAGAATAAATTGTCTCCCTTAGACGCGACTGTAATTCTCATGGGACAAATGTGGTGGCGCTGTTGATGTCAGAGACATAGAAATGGAAAAAAAAGTGTGCGTGTGTGTGTGTATATGTGTGTGTGTGTGTGCGCGCGTGTGTGTGTGCGTATGTGTGTGTGCGTGTGTGCATGTGTGTGAGAGAGAGAGAGAGAAAGAAAGAGAAATAAATAGGAAGGAGAGAGGAAAACAAATGAAAAAAAGAGTGTGGGTTGGCTGGATTTCTTTCTAACTGCGCAATGAGTTTAGATAGTCATCATTCACACACGTGTTCTTGACCGCCATGTTTGGTTTAGCTGCAGACAGACTGACAATAACGTGCCTTGCACACCTCCTTCCACCCGATTCAACTCTGTGAGACGAGGAAAAAGGGTGGGGGAGAAGTGAAGGGTCGGTTTGGTTGGGTTTCATTTATTTTTTCTTCGTTCTTTTAAACTGACCTCATTTAAGAATAGCATTCCACTAAAATAAAAATTAAAAAGAAAATAAAATGAGATTTTGAACCCAATTAAAACTTTTATTTGTTTTTCAAGTCTGGAAGAGTATTTTGCTTTTTTATATTTCTTTCTTTTTTCGTTTAATTCTTTTTGACGATGTTTCCGACATTAGTTATATCGGGGATTTTTAGGGTCAATGTTTGAGGTTCGACCCAAGTTGGTAGAATGCCAAATCGTGTTAAATTAAAACTAGACGATTTTGTTTCGCATATTTCAAGTGTTTCTGTCTTCTGAACATTTTATGAGCAAGAAATTTTGCTCGCTGGGAAAATGGAATATTGAGGAGGGATTTTTTTTTTCTTAAGCTTAGATAAAAGTCGTTTTTGTCTAGAAGAAAGAAGATATAGCGTATAGACTGACAGAATCAAATTCAAGATTTGACCAAATTTAAAAATGAAAACAAAGAGAACCAAAACAAAGAACCCTTAAGACAGTGATTCTCAACCGCTGTGCTGCGGGACACCAATATGCCGCGCGATCCTCCTAAGTGTGCCGCGAAATATTGTCACGGCATACATATTTTCACGTGGGGTTAACTTCACTTACTTTCCTGAAACCGCTACTAGAGGACGCTCTCTGGCAATATAAATACACTGTGATAATTATTCGTAGCCTCTTCTTATTTTTTCCGCTTACACGTCAACATGTAAGTCTCTCGCGGAAAAACACTTTTCCCATTGGGAAACGCATGAACAAACCACGCAAACACGACACACGTACGCACGCACATTCACTCACTTCACATTAACCAAAAAGGTTTCCGCATTCTTTTGTTATACATATCATTATATATATATATATATATATATATATATATATATGAATGAAGAAATATAGTCTTAAGATGTGTTATATTTATATTATATTTATATTACATATTTGTGGCCTGACGATTGCATCTAGCATGAAACAGACTGTCGCCTCTAAGTGTTGATTTCTATGTTCACTTATATATATATATATATATATATATATATATATATATATATATATATATATTCTTATTAATACATTATCATTTGTTTGTACATGTATTGGTTCTTGTTGTTTCTTTTCTTTTATTCACGGGGGCTCACATACCGAGTCCGTCATTTTTTGTTGTTGGTATTTCAGTAGACACTTGTTTTTTCCCAACAGAATCTTGCTACTTATGTAACGCCCACAACAATATATACTGATTTTCTAAGCGTAGCTTATATGTAGCACAAAAAGTATGGTGAGCGAAGTCACTATTTAGTCGTAACTGTTTTAGCGAGACAAGCTTGCTGACCATTACACCACACCGTGGTGCCGGCCTGCAACTATATGTATATGTATGTGTGTAAATAGTAATGGTACAGTGTTAGCATATTGGCCTTCAGGGAAAAATAAGAATTGGCCACCATTTGTAGTAATCAAGGTATCAAAATAAAACATTCGACGAGGTCCATTGATATATTTTGGATTTCAATACAAAAGGAAAATCCCACATTAGCTTTAAAAAAGCTTTATCTGTTTTATTGCAATTTTCTATTTCTTATTTATCAGCCCTAAATAACATTAAGATATAAGAAACGAGAAAGACTACGCTTAACTGGAGAAGAAATGAGAATCTGCTTATTGCACATTCGATAAAACATTGAAAAAATGGCGAAAAATCCACCAGGCACACGTTTCACGCTAAATAAGCTGCACAAATAGTTGAATAAAAACATAGAAAAAAAGTAAGTTCTTAATTGTGTGTTCATTTTTTTTAAAAATCTATAGTTTTATTTCATAAAATTTAAATGTATACCCTTTAAAAAATGTTGTTATATAATGTGATATTTTCATTTGCTACTAGGTTTGTCGTTGCTTAAAAACGTTCTTTTTTTAAGAATATAAACTACAAAGAAACAGCTGTTAACAATCGGAAATAAACCGTTGAAATTTCTTGGGTACATTATGAAGAAAGAAGTATTAGACAATTTAACACTCACAGGACATTGATGGCCACAGAAGCAGGGCAAACAATAAGTCACCTATGGGATTGATTTGAATGAATGAATAAATGAATGGTTGAACAAATACAAAGAAGGATGGTAAAAGGTTAACAGTTACAAAAAAAAAAAACTTTAACAGTTTTATTGCAATCTCCTACTTATTATTTATGTGAATTGGGCTTCTCAAACCTAAACAACATCAAAAATAAGAAACAAGAAAGACTACGCTCAATTGAAAAAGAAATGAGAATCTGCTTATTGCACATTCGATCAGACATTGAAGAAATGGCGGAAAATCACCAGGCACACGTTTCACGCTAAATAAGCTGCACAAATAGTTCAATAGAAACACTGAAATAAATTAAGGTCATATTTGTGTCTGCATTTTTTTTAAATCTATAGTTTTATTTCATAACATTTAAATTTATACCCTTTAAAAATTTTGTTATATATTCCATGATATTTTCATTTGTTCCTAAGTGTACCGTTGCTTAAAAAGTTTGAGAAACACTGCACTAAAAAAATTAATGGGTTTTATTTTTAATCTGACATGGCTTCCTATTACTCTAAACGTAATTTTTGTGAGTACCCGTGTTTGAGTAGACGCCTTGTTTTTTGTTTATTTTTTTTATATCTATGGTTTTATTTCATAACATTTATTATATACCCTTTAAAAAATTTCCTAAGTGTGCCGTGATATTTTCATTTGTTTCTTGGTGTGCCGTTGCTTAAAAAAAGGTTGAAAACAATGCTTTAAATGTATGGAAAAGAATTATCTAAAACATTTAGTGAATCAACAAAATCAATCTAAATTAAGAAACAAGAAAGGCTACGCTCAATTGAAGAAGAAATTAGGGTCTGCTTATTGCACATTCGACCAGACATTGAAGAAATCGCGAGAAAAAAAAAAAAACAGGCACAGATTTCACACTAAATAAGCTACAGAAATAGTTGAATAGAAACATTGAAATAAAGTAAATTTATATTAGTGTGTGTATTAAAAAAAATCTATGGTTTCATTTCATAACATTTAAATGGATACCCTTTACAGATTTTGCTAGGTGTGCCGTGATATTTTCATTTGCTCCTAGGTGTACAGTTGCTTAAAAAGGTTGAGAAACGCTGCCTTAACACATCACCGAGATCAAACTTTAAATACAGAAATAATTGCCGGCTACTCCTTTTCCCGTCAGATACGGCGGTTACCCAATCCCTGCTGCAGACACCAGCTCAGGTACATTTGTATTTGTTCAACACCCACTGAGCCCACCTGTGATTTATATTGCAACTATAATGAGTGAATTTTAGTTACAGTTTCTGGGAGTGAATGCACAATCAGACGTGATCAGCAATGGGAACAACGCCAGTACGTTAACGCCCACAGTCACGATGACTTGTTACTTCGTGCTAGCACTATCATCATGAGACGCCTTAACAGTTTCATCGACCGAATTTCAATCACAAGACCTGAGCGAACCCGTGGTAACGTCTTTATACACTTTATAAAGTTGTCGTACGATGGGATTATCTCCCTAGGACGGTGATATGAGTTGACCATATTGAGATTCGAAGCCAGGGTTCGTGGTCGGAATGGGTGTGTTCTAATAATCACTTATAGAGAAAAAAAAAAGTAGTTTTTTATCTGCAGTTTTAAATCCTTTAAATAGTTTAGAAAGAAAGAATGAAAGATCCGATAAAAGTTATCTATCGATAGAGCTCTTTAATTAAAATCTGTCAAAATGCATGGCAAAGTACGAAATTAGATCAAAAAAAGAAAAAAACACACAAAAAAGAAAAAAAGATTTCAAAAATGCGCTGTGAAATTTATCTTATAATTTTTTTATTTTCTTTAGCAACACAAAACATGCCATTGCACTTAATCTCCGCTTTCTCGACTGCTTATAACTATTCAGCAAAATTTTACTTTAAGTTGGGAATATGAGTCAGTAATACACAGCGTACAGCCACTCCTCACACAGCGACCAGGTTAAGATCTAACGGCTTGGTCGCTAAACAAACTGGTCGCTAAGTGAGAATTTGTACTCCCTTTTTTTTTACAATGATGTCCACCTTGTATAAGGTCGAAGAGCCACTCGAGGTAGAAGTTTACAGAGTAGGTGGCACCACTCCAAGCTAGGTGATAATGCCACTGAGA